CTCTTTGGGTCCTTCTTCACATAGCCGCGCAACGTGACTACGAGCTGCACTCACTCGACTTCTCCACAGCGTTCCTGCAGGGTAGTCTGCACGAGCAGATCTACCTCCAGTGCCCTCTAGGATTCTCTGGGTCCTTCCCACCTAGGACTGAGTGGAGCCTACGCCATCCTGTCTACGGCCTTCGTCATGCATCTTTTGAGTGGCACGACAAGCTTCGCACCACTCTTGCTGAGCTGCAGTTCTTTCCATACCTCTGCTGACCCCCTCTCTTTGTTTGCACGGGTCACACACCGTTCTACATTCTAGTGTACGTAGACGATCTTATGTTTGCTACTCCTGACAGAGTGGCACTGGCCTCAGTGAAGGCCGAGTTACTTTAGAGACACACCTGTACAGACTTGGGGGAGCTGAGGCGCTATCTGGGCTTGGATTTTTCGTGACCGTGCTGCTCGTACGATCACACTCTCCTAGTCCCATATGGTGCAGTAGATCCTCCAGAGGTTCAATCTCCAGTTCTCCTCAGCACAGCCCACCCCTCTGCCTATGGATCACAAGCTCTCTGTTCCTTTTCCGGCTGAGCCGGTCGAGGCTAGTGGTCCATACGCAGTGCTGGTGTACACTCGACTAGATCTAGCGTACCCTCTTAGTCTCTTGGCTCGCTTTGTTGCGACAGGCAGGCACCGACCAGTCCACTGGTCAGCTGCCAAGAGGGTATAGCGGTATCGGGCGAGTACATCAAAACTGGGGCTTGTGCTAGGAGGACGGGAGCCAGTGGTGCTCACTAGACACAGAGACGCGTCGTGCGCTGACGACGTGGAGACGCTCAAGTCATCTCAAGGCTACTGTTTTAGTCTTGGTGCTGGTGTTGTCTCTTGGAGGTCCACCAGGTCATCGTCTGTAACTCAATCCAATTGTGAGGTAGAGATCTATGCTAGGTCTATGGCCGCTTAAGAGCTCCGCTGGCTGACGTTCTCGCTCACTGACTTTAGTGAGCAGCCTTGGTCTGCCCCGGTCCTGTTTGCTGACAACAGGGCCATGATCCTCCTGTGTCAGGAGGCTCGACTTGAGGGCAGGGCGAAGCACATCCAACTGCGGTACTTCCTGTTGCGTGAGTTGCAGCAGCGCGGCTACGCTCGAGTAGTACAGTTGACCTCAGAGGCCAACACCGCTGATATCTTTACCAAGGCACGTGCGCCTCGTGACCATCAGCAGTTCTGTACTCAGCTTGGTCTCGACTCCGTAGCAGCACCACTCCTTGTATCCTGAGTCATACTTTACCCGTTTATACTTGTTGTTGTATACCTGCTTGTCTTGCTACATTTGTTGACTGGCCTTATGGCCTTTTGTCTCAATGGTCAGACTAGTAGTGCTGCCCTGAATTGCCTTGTTGCCCTCACCATAGGTTAGACTAGTAGTGCTGCCCTGGTGTACTCTGCCTTTTTATGAACGGCCACTATCTAGGCTAGGGGGTGTGTCACCAAATATATTTATGTAGCTTAGCTAGGTCATATTTGTTTATAGCCTAGCTAGTTGAGTTTCTAGTGGGTACAGCCCTAGTTTTGTATCCCTCGACATTTTCCCTTAGTCACAAATTTCCCCGCTACTCTAACAAAAAGACCCTAGGGTATTATCTTGCACTGGTTTTTTTTCTTTCTTTCTTTCTTTCTTTTGGTCTTTTAATCGGATGAATCTATATATAAGGCCCGGGCTTAAGCTTATACACAAAGACCTTTCTATTTTTTAATATACAGAAATGTGATGTGGAAAATTAGGGACCGTTTGGCTGGCTCTTTTGGTGGTCAAGTCGTGGCTCGCCATTTTCGAATGCTGGCAGGCCGCACTCCCCTCAGTTTTGGCACATTTCCTGCATGCGCTGGCTGGTTCATTGGACGTGGACCATCCTCAGCATCACGACCCTCGTTTGGGGGGTAATGATGTCGAAGTGGCCAGTCAGCTGGCCCTTATTGTGCTGTCTTACCCCGTGTCATCTGCATTTGGACCTCCACCCTGGCACGGAATATTCCTCTACAGGAATATCCCATGCACCTCTGTCCTCTGCACGTCTTGGCTTACTGAGATATCCTCTACGAGCGCTGCGGGGAGTGAGGAGGGGTCTGATCATTCTCTCTCATTTTTTCAGAGCACTTTTGCGTTGCTTTCCAATCACCATCTCCACCCTAGTATCCTACCGTACGAGCGTGCCAACACAGGCAACTGGCCTTTGCGCTCTCTTTGCCCGTCAGAGGCATAGTGGCTCTGACTCTGTCAATCCACCTGCATCCCCTTTTGCTGCTCCGCTAACAGTCGTGAACATTAACATCTCCACCGCTGCTCCGCTAATTCCCGTGCCCTCCGCCCAGAGCCACCACACTGCAGGTGCCAGTGGTCCTAGTCATGCCGCTACTGCTGACGCTGGTCCTAGCCACGCCGCTGCTGAAGACGAGCATGACAAGTTCGACACCGTGCAGGTTCCCGTTTCCCCATGCCGCGGACCACCAGGCGTCCGGTCGTCAATCGCAATTCTTCCGAACGTGAACGCTCCAAGTGCATGCCCGTTAAGGGCGCATCTCAGCGTCCGCGCGATCGCAAAGCGTGTCGGCGTGCAGCCGTCCCAAATCCACAAATGGAAGGCCGACTCGGAGCACTATAAGAAGGCTTTCAGCACGCGCAAGCGTCTCCATGGAGCAGGTGGGAGGTTGCTCTATCCGGATATGGAGCAATCAGTGTACCGCTCTTTCCTTGGCTATCGTACGAAAGGTTTGCCTATGCCCATCCCTCTCACCAAGCACTGCAGCAAGGTCTACATGGACAGGCACCACCCTCAGCTGGACTGGCGTGCCTGAGAGCGTTGGTGTCAACGGTTTTATGCTCGTTGGGGACTTGTGCATCGTGTGAGGACGAAGCAAGGGCAGCACCTCGCAAGTGGTAAGCCCAAATGCTTAGGAATTATGCGTGGAATTTTGTCATATGAAGCTAACCTCTTCCCTATCTCCGTGTCCCTTCTCCCTTAACCCACATTGCCAAGAGCGGGTAGAGAGCTGTTGGTGCTTCAACCAAGGGCATACGAATCAAGCACAACGTCCAAAACACGTTCATCATCAATGCGGATCAAACTCCTCTCTGGTAGGAGTTCCCAGCGGAACGTACCATCGAGCACAAGGGCACATGCACTGTCCACGTGCGCACGGCGGGTTACAGAAAATAAAGGGTGACGGTAATGCTTGCCTGCATTGCCGCTGGAGAAAAGCTGCCTCCGTACGTGGTCTTCAAGAGGAAAACGGTGCCGAAGATTGTCTTTCATGAAGGTGAGTTTCTGATTCCTGTTTATGCATTTCCAGCATTGTAATGAGTTTCTCGTGCACCACTCTAATCATTGTTTGTTGCTCGCATGCAGGGATGGTTGTTCGCGCACATGCTAAGGGGTGGATGGATTATGGCCTAGTGCGCGACTGGCTCGTTAAGGGCGTCGCCCCATTCGTCGCGCCGAAGTTCAGTGAACCACGCCAGCCGACGCTCCTCATCCTGGACTTCTTCAAAGGACACCAGAGGAAATCTCTAAGGCAGACAATGCGGCTCTTCAAGATTTTCCCGGTCATGATTCCTGGTGGCTGCACGTCTTTGATCCAGCCTTTAGACGTCTGCATCAAGAAGGCGCTGGAGTGCGTGGTCCGCAGGGACTACCAGGATTGGTTCGCGACTGTTTGATGCGAGACATTTACAAAGGTTGGTGAGTTTGGTTCTTATGCATGGCTCTCGCATTGTGTCAACCCGTAACTAACTTGTTATTTTTTGTCGGGGGTGCAGGCAATCTGAAATAGCCTCTCCCGATGCTATACTCAAGTGTGAAGACAGATCTTGGGAAGCCATCGATGCCGACCTCGTCATTCGCGCGTTCAAGACGTGCGGTCTCTCCAACACCCTCGACGGCTCCGAGGAGCACATCTGCCTAGCCCATCTTCGTGAGCCAAGCCAGGTGGAGGTGGCGTAGGATGTTGGGGCGGATGGCTACCACGGTGACAGCTCGCAGGTGTTCACCCTTGCAGACGGCGCCGCTGAGGTGGACGAGGCGGACATGGAAGCGAGTGCGGTCAACGATGGACCAGCAGCAGAATATGCAGCACCTGCCAATGAAGAACCAATCAACTTGGAAGATGAAGACGAACCAGAGGAACCTGAAGATTACTATATGAATGGAGGCGACTATCCTGACTTCTCTGATGACGAGATGGCTCAGGGTTATGAAGATCCCTTTGCTGAGTAGCTGTAGGTAGCATGCTAGGTGCAGAGCAGTAGTAGTGGGAAAGCATGTAGGGTAGTGAAGCCTGCAGATCTGGTAGCTAACACCATTTGTCTCTAGTGTGCAGGATGACATCTAATTTGTCAACTCATTTGTGCATTTATGGACCCTCTTTTGCTTGTGCACGGCGAAGATGAGGGGGGAAGTGGGGGGGGGAGGAAGAGGGGGGGGGAGGGAGGGGGGGGGGTCTTATCTTATTACCGTCCAAAAAGGGGGTCTTTAATTTATGGGTTCACAGGATAAGACCCATCCAGGTTAAAACCCACGGCCAAAATTGCGAGGCGCGGCCTTCAAACGCAGTGCGTTTGAAAGTTGCGTTCTCGTGGGTGTATTGGGGGTAAAGACTCGTCACTCAGGGGTGCCTTTCAAGTTCAGTGCGGAAGGTAATTTGGAACACCAGGTGCTGAGCGTTTTTCAACCGTCCAGTTTTTCCAGATTTTCATCTGACGGCGCGTAAGCCAAGCACTTCCCCCAGTCAGTCGATAGGTAATCTCATCCGTCAAACTGTGTTTTTGTAAATCTGACGGTTCACGACAAGCGTTGAATTTGCGAGAGTAGACGCCCTCGCGATTTTCCAGCCTATTTCGTACAGCCAGGGGGTCAAAGTTCATACGCAGTGAACAATTTGGGCCGCGAGATTTAAAAGATACATGGGCCTTTTAGCCGGGTAAATACGGTATAATATTTATGCTTCAGGACCCCTGCATCCCCTCCACCAGATGACTGATCCACAGACACACACGTAGCAGCCAGCGATGGCCTTGTCAATCTGTTCAGGCATGGCGGTAGCAAGCAGGTCGCCAGAACATGGTCTCAGTATTACGCTAATGCTTATCGCCGTAGACGCGTCCTTTTCTCCGCACGCGTAGGCCTTTCCTTTTTCTGACTATCCGACGGTCCTTTCTTTTTTGCGAAAGGATGAATCAGGACCTTAGAATGGAGACCCAGGCGGGACAGGTCGGGAATGACACTATCGGGGAGAATGACAATATCGAAGGGGACGCTTCGGCAGCGGAGGGAATGGACGCGACGTCGATTAAAGCGCGAACAGACTGCATATTTTTTCTCGCATCTCCGCTAATGTGCAAGAAGGTCGGATGGTGGGGATAGAGAAAACCATATGGACAAGGTCACCGGGTGTCTTACTGATCCAATTCCACATTTTTTAATATAATTGTTACCAACCAAGTATTTTTCGGTCTGCTGTAACAATCCGCGCAGGGAGCGACATGCGAGTTTCGGCACTCAGAAGCAGCGAGGCGGAACCCTCGTGACTGCTACTACTGGGTGAACTGGGGCTGCAACAAGGCCGAATGCGCTTTCAGGCATCCGGTACGCCGCGTTTGCCGTTAGTCCTGCTAAAATTTTAATCTCCATACGTTTCAGTAGGGTTTGGTATTGGTGAATTTAGCCACCTACAGGACGACTCATGCCAGAAATTATTCTGACGGCAATGTTTCACTTACCCGATCTCCCCTGACCCCATTCTCCCAGAAATTTTGTTCAGGGCCCAACAAGCAAACCCACTGTGGGCCTCTATCTGCTCCAGTTGCCTGCCATACTCTCCCCATCCATTATGCTCTTTCATTTTCCAATTCCACCTCAGCCGTCCGTCCCCGTCACCCGCTCCTCCCTGCTGTCCCCGTGTCCCCCTCTCCTCCTCTTTTCCATCTCCCATGCAGCCTCTAGGGAGGCCGCCTGACGCCGCTCCCCCTCCTGCGTTTCCCTTGGCGGACGACAAGTCCAAAACGCCCTGCTTCTTCTTCGCCAGGGGCGCTTGCGCCAAGGGCGACCTCTGCCCCTTCCGCCACGAAACCACTCCGCCTGACGCTGCTGCGCCTGCTTCTGCCGCCGCTGCTGCTGCTGCCGTTGCTGCTAGTCCTGCGGCTGTAGAGGCCACTGCCACTGCCACTGCCATTGCTACTGCCACTGCTGCGGCTGACCGTGCTGGCAGTGATGCTGCCACTGGCTCCAGAGCTGCTGCTGGTGCTTCAGATTCTGATCCCGGCCGTGCTCCTCTTGGCTCTTCTGCTCGCGGAGTGGAAAGAGGGTCGGTGAGAGGTTTGGCGAGAGGTTCGGCGAGAGGTCCGGGTAGAGAAGTACAAGAGGAGGCAGCAGCACAAGGGGGCTGGGATGCTCAAAATTTTGCAATGACAGGCGGACGGAGGGCTGGGGAGGGGGGGAGGGTAGGTGCAGAGGAAAGCGGGGTGGTTGGTGGGGGGAGAGGTGCTCGATCGACGTCGCCAGCACCAGCATTGTCCGCAGGGAGCAGGGGCCCTGCGAGGGGCTTTGCAGCTATGGCCCATGAACAGCAGCAGCAGCAGCAGCGATGGCAGGAGCAGAAACAACATCAGCAGCAGCACCAGCAGCAGCACCAGCAGCAGCACCAGCAACATCAGCAACAGTGGCATGAGCAGCAACAGTGGCAGGAGCAGCAGCAATGGCAGGAGCATCAACAGGAGCACCACCATCACGACAACCGCCAGCAGCCTAGGCAGCAGCAAATGAGTCAGCCACCCGCCCAACCTCGTGTCCATGATCGCGCATTTAGTCACATTCCAAGTCATCCTGGTCAGGGTCCAGGTCAGCATGGGCAAGCTCCAGGTCAGCACGGGCAACCGATGAGTCAGCATGGGCAGAGGGTGCCACAGGGGCGGGGACGGGCAGTGGGGGTGCGGGCAGTGATGGAAGAAGCAGCTGCAGCCGCTGCTGCTGCAGCAGCAACACCGCTGGGGTCAGGTTCAAGGGGTTTAAGGGCCTTGACCCCGGAAACAGGGAGAAGGGAAGGTGGAAACAGAGCAATGGGGGAGGATGGTAATGACGGACTTAGAGGAAGGTTCACAGGAGGTCGGTTCTCTCAACAGCACGGGGCACATGATGGCGTGAAGCTGCCTGACCTGCCGCCATCTCCTATGCCAGGTACACTTCCTGCGGCTCTGTAACGCAGTCGTATAATCGTATTTGAAATGTTTCTTATCACCTTGAGCATCTGGTAAGCATGTGTCCACACCGCCTCCCAGGGCATGAAGTCAGTAGGGACAAGAATAGTCTTCATCTGCGGTTTCTTTCTCCATTGTTTTGTCAATTGCAGGTATGCTTACCGAGCCAGGCACTACTGGAGCAGCAGGAGCAGCAGGAGCAGCGCGAGGAGCGCGACCAGGCGTAGACAGAGTGGGTAGTGGCACGATGAGCACTCTTGCTTCTGCGCCTGGCACCATCAGCTCACTGGCGGCAGGGCCTCCTCTCAAGGGTCGCAGGCTCGTGGTGGCAGTGGGTAATGGCGCTAACAATGCCGGTAGAGTCGTTGCAACCACCGCTGGTGAACTTCCTCACCAGCACCAGCACCAGCACCAGCACCAGCACCAGCACCAGCACCAGCACCAGCACCAGCACCAGCACCAGCAGCACCAGCAGCAGCAGCAGCAGCAGCACCAGCAGCAGCAGCAGCAAGGGCAGGTCCAGGCGAGGGGCGTGGGGCAGGGTTTAGTGATTCGTGCGCGAGTGGATGGCGCATCAGCCTCCTCTCAGCGCGTTGTTCAGGCTCCTCCCCTCCCCGCTTCCCATCTGCCACATCCTGTGCTCACACATGCACCCCATTACGCGCATCCATCCCACACACCCCATGCGTCGCATGTCTCTCGTGCTGCTGATCTGCGCCAGCCTGTGAAGGCAAACTCGTCCGATCCTGAAGTTCCGCCAGGGAGGAGGGACCTGAAGCGGGTTCGGCCCGAGCCTGAATCCGCCCCGGAGAATGCTATTAGGGTTGTAGGTCTGGGAGCCAATAGGTCCGGGAATGTAGCAGGGCGTGCGACGGTTCAGTCAGAGCAGGACGGGACCAGGCAGGGCCAGGCTGGGATAGGCCGGTTCCAAGGCAGACTTGCCGAACCTGCTAGAGGTTCGGGAGGATCAGTCTCGGCAGTTAGTGGTGGAGGATCGGCAGAAAATGGTAGATTGTCTGTGAAGAGGCGTTTGGGTGCGGCTGCTGGTGTTAGCACAGTGACTGGCACTGGCGCTGGAGCTAGTGCTGGTTCTCGTCCCGGTGCTACTGGTGCTGCTGTTGGTAGCGCTGGGGCTACTGCTGCCGCTGGTGGTGCCGTTACTGCTGTTGGTGTTCGTGGTCGTGCTGACACATTGTCTGAAGCTACTGGGGCCGGCATCAGGGAAGGGAATGGTGCTGTTCCTGGCACAGGTGTCAAGAGCCGATTGGCTGCCAGGCTGTCAGGGCCTGGGGGCAAGCCGAGTGCTGGGAGAGTTGGAGGAGCAGCCTCTGGTGCCGATGCTGCTGGTGCTGGCGCTGAGTCAGATGCTGTGGGTGCTGTTCCTCGTATTGCTGTTGCTGCTGTTGTTGCTGGTGCTCCTGGGAGGGTTGGGGAAGCAGCAGGAGCAGGACGAGGGGGGGGAGGAGGGTTCTATCGACCCCGTAGCCTGGCAGAGATTCTGGCGGAGAAGAGGAAAAGTCGGGGGGAAGATGTCGCATCACCAGCCGCAACAGCAGCACCATCGCTACCGCCTGGAACAACAGGCACTGCTGGTGGAACAGGAGCAGCAGCAGAGTCAGGCACTGCGATTCAAGCAAGAACCAAGGCACAGCACACCAGGGTTGTTATTGGGTCGTCTACCCCCAAGAGTGCTGGAGATACAGCTCCTAAGAAGGTGTGTGATCAGCCTGCTAGTGCTGCTGGTGAACCTGATAATGCGACAGCCAGTGCGTCAGCTGGTAAGGCTCCTGGTAGGGCTGCTCTCTTCTCCGGCCCTCGGCCGCTGTCAGAGCTACTCAAGCGCAAGCGAGCGAGCAACGAGGGAGAGGCGGGGCAGACGAGTGCACTGAGAGCAGAGGGGGCTACAGTTGGGGGAGCTGGCGCGGGGGAGCCGCAGGGGAGGACAGTTGGTGGTGGTGAGGTGCAGAAGGTGGGAGGAGAGGAGACAGGTGGGCAGGGTCAGGGGAAGGTGGGTAAGGCCAGGAGGCTGTTGAAGGGGCTGGGTGCGCGTGCTGAAGGAGGGTTGGTGGGAGCAGAGGTGAAAACGGCAGGCACAGGAGCATCAATGGCTGGGACTGGAGTAACAGTAGTAGGCACAGGAGCAGCAGGAAGTGGAGCGAGTGTTGTGAGTGCCATGCCGGCTGCTCCAACTCTTGTGGAGCAGCCGACAGCTGGAGCGGGAAGTGGCGGCGTGGTGAAGGCTGCTGCTGCTACTGCTGCCCATGCTACTACCCCTGCTATGGCCACTGATCCTGCCTCTGCTGCTCCTGTGGCTGTTCCAGCAAAGGAGGAGGCTGGACAAGCAGTTACAGCTAAAGCGACCAAAGATGTTGATGACGGCATTCTCCTAATTCGGAGTGGTAGCTCTCAGTCAAAGGGCGAGAGAGCAGTAGGAGAGGTGGACTTCGGAGATGAGGATCTGGTAGGTGAAGACGATGACGAGGATTATGATTTGGAGGGGAAGCTTGGCGATTTATGGTGAGATAAGTGGCCGTAAACAAGCTATAATTTCTCAAACCCCTCTCCAACTCCACGCACTGTGTGAGATTATAATCATTGATAGGGTTGTACGGCAGGGCCTATCTTTGGTCTTTACTACTCTGATTTTCACGAGTGACTCCTCGAACTCTGATTTGTCAGGGTTTTTTACACATTTTCGAATAAAAACTTTGACACTGTACCGGATGCTGCATGATATACGCCCCTCCGTTGATTCGCACCACATCGTGTTTATCCGGGTAACCTCTACTCAATCTACAAGTTTAACGAGAATTTTTGCCGGAATCTGACATGTGCAGTCAAGTTTCGGTTGGAAACTGGGATCCGTCGGGTTCTCTGAAAAGAATCAGGGCACATTCCACGCTTGGGACAAGCCCCAAGGCATAACTTCGGGGCATTAGTCGTACGGGGGAGTCTGCTCCAGCCCCAAAGTTTATTCATCCTATCCGTATAACTGATGCCCTCAAGTTCTGCCTCAGGCTTGCCCCGAGAACGGAACGCGCCCCCATAACAGACTCTGTTCCGCAGTGCCTCTCGGTCAGCAGCGCAGCTTGCGCTGGCAGGCATTTCGGGTGGGATACAACAAACAGCCAATCTTGGCTGACCTGGCAGAATCTTCCATCATAAAGTCACCAGTCCTAACCATTGGGACAAGAATGGATCTCATTAGGAGGGTTAGGCTTCATATATCCACCTTCCCCCAGGAACGCCTCCCCAGTACCCTTCCTGGAGATAGAAAGAGGATCGACAGGGTTATCCCAGTACCACGACATCTTCTACAGCTGACGTCGCTGGATCTGTTTGATTTTTTCTGCAAATGAAGAGAGCAAAGTGTCAGAAATAAGCTAGGTGGGTAGATGAGCCATTGAATGGCGAGCGGTTTTAGGAATGAGAAAAGTTACGAGAGAAGAGGTGTTGGACTAGAAGAGAAGGAGATACAAGAAAGGGGTAGTTATCAGAAATGAATAATTGAATGATAGATAGAGTGAGAGTATACAAAGATATACCTAAGTGTTGTACTCTCTAAGAGGCGACCCTATACAGTCTATACAAACATGACAAATACACATGTTTGACACACCCCCTAGACTGCATAGGGGAATGCCCTAAACAAACAGATCAGGGCGGCACTACTAGTCCAACCTCTGAGACAAGGGTCTAAGAGACCAGTCAGAAGGAGTACAAACAAGGCAAGAACAAGGGCTGGGTGGCACTACTAGTCCAGCCACTGCGAGAGGACACAAGTCCAGTCTGAGTATACGTATAAAGGACAGTACAAAGTCAAGGTCCTAGCAAGTGAGAGGCTACAGGAACTAGACCAAGCTGTACACAGTGCCGCTGATGATCTTTAGGCGCAAGCGCCTTCGTAAAGATATCAGCCGTGTTGGCACCCGAGGCCAAGTGTACTACGCGAGCCTGACGTCGCTGCTGTAGCTCACGCAGGAGGAAGTACCGCAGCTGAATGTGCTTCGCTCTGCCCTCAAGTCGAGGCTCCTGACACAGGAGGATCATGGCCCTGTTGTCAGCGAACAGGACCGGGGCAGAGCTAGGCCGCTCACCTAAGTCAGTGAGCAAGAAGGTCAGCCAGCGAAGCTCCTGTGCCGCCATGGCACCAGCGTAGATCTCGGCCTGACAGCTGGACTGTACTACAGACGAGGAGCGGGTAGCTCTCCACGAGACGGCAGCTGAGCCAAGGCTGAAGCAGTAGCCCTGGGTAGACCTGAGCGTCTCAGCGTCGTCTGCCCACGAAGCGTCGGTGTGTCCAGTAAGGACCACTGGCCTGCGTCCTCCTAGCACTAACCCCATGCCCGATGTACTAGCAAGATAACGCAGAACCCTCTTAGCGGCAGACCAGTGCTGCGGTCGGTGTCTGCCTGTGGCCACAAAGCGAGCCAGGATGCTGAGAGGGTATGCGAGATCTGGGCGAGTGCAAGTCATCAGGTACATGAGGCAACCCACCAGCTCTGCGTAGGGGCCGCTGGGCTCTACCAACTCCTCAGGTACTGGAGCGGAGAGTCTGTGGTCTACAGGCAGAGGGGTGGGCTGTGCAGAGGAGAACTGAAGGCTGAACCTCTGAAGGACCTGGCGCACCAAGTGTGACTGAGTCAGGGTGATGGTGCGCGCAGCTCTGTCCCTGGAGATCTGCAAGCCAAGGTAACGGCGCAGTTCTCCAAGGTCAGTGCACGTGTGTCTCTTCAGAAGCTCTGCCTTCACGGAGGCCAGTGCGTCCCTGTCTGCTGTGGCAAAGACCAGGTCGTCGACGTAAACAAGGATGTAGAACAGAGTCTGGCCAGCACGAACGAAGAGTGAAGGGTCTGCGGAAGACGGAAAGAACTGCAGGTCAGCAAGGGTAGCACGAAGAGTATCGTGCCACTCACGAGGAGCCTGGCGCAGGCCGTAGACGGCGACGGGGCCGGGCGGGTGCGACGGCGCCGGGCGGGCGCGACGGGGCCGGGCGGCTGCGACGGGGTCGGGCAGGGGCGACGGGACCGGGGGGGGGTACGACGCGGCCCAGGAGGGGCGCTACGGGGCCCAGGAGGGGCACGACGGGGGCCCAGGAGAGGCGCTACAGGGGCCCAGGAGGGGCGCAACGGGGCCTAGGAGGGGCGCGACGAGGCCCAGGAGGGGCGCTAAGGGGCCTAGGAGGGGCGCGACGGGGCCTGGGAGGGGCGCGACGGGGCCCAGGAGGGGCGCTACAGGGCCGAGGGAGGGCGCGACGGGGCCCAGGAGGGGCGCTACGGGGCCCAGGAGGGGCGCGACGGGGCCTAGTAGGGGCGCTACGGAGCCTGGGAGGGGCGCGACGGGGCCTGGGAGGAGCGCGACGAGGCCCAGGAGGGGCGCTACGGGGCCCAGGAGGGGCGCTACGGGGCCTGGGAGGAGCGCGACGGGGCCCACGAGGGGCGCTAGGGGGCCTTGGAGGGGCGCGACGGGGCCTGGGAGGGGCGCGACGGGGCCTGGGAGGGGCGCTACGGGGCCCAGGAGGGGCGCGACGGGGCCCAGTAGGGGCGCTACGAAGCCTGGGAGGGGCGCGAGGGGGCCTGGGAGGAGCGCGACGAGGCCCAGGAGGGGCGCTACGGGGCCCAGGAGGGGCGCTACGGGGCCTGGGAGGAGCGCGACGGGGCCCAGGAGGGGCGCTAGGGGGCCTGGGAGGGGCGCGACGGGGCCTGGGAGGGGTGCGACGGGGCCTGGGAGGGGCGCTACGGGGCCCAGGAGGGGCGCTACGAAGCCCAGGAGGGGCGCCAGGGGGCCTGGGAGGGGCGCGACAGGGCTAGGGGGGTCGCGACTGGGCTAGGGGCTAGAGGGGTGAGCGGAAGCGATAGGTGGGGGGGGATTCTACCTACGCGTGATACCATATCAGAAATGAATACTTGAATGATAGATAGAGTGAGAGTACACAAAGATATACCTAAGTGTTGTACTCTCTAAGAGGCGACCCTATACAGTCTATACAAACATGACAAATACACATGTTTGACAGTAGTCCCTCTACAGTAGGATTCAGTAAGTAGCACAACCAAGCCTACAATTATATATATATATATATATATATGTTATAATTTAAAACACCCCCTAGGCTTGGTAGTCGCAAGCCCACCCCACATGCAACAACTCTAAGCCTAGCACCCCCATACCCTACAGCAAAGGTGACTGCAGGGAAGGAAGGCGATAGGCATCCTTGAGCTGTGGTGGGGCGGAGCCAGCTGGCATGGCGAGCTGGGACCGACGCTGCGAGCTGGGACCGACGCGGCGAGCTGGGATCGACGCGGCGAGCTGGGTCTAGAGCGGAGAGCTGCGACCGACGCGGCGAGCTGGGTCCGACGCAGCAAGCTGGGTCTGACGCGGCGAGCTGGGTCTAACGCGGCGAGCTGGGTCTGACGCGGCGAGCTGGGTCTGACGTGGCGAGCTGGGTCTAACGCGCCGAGCTAGGGAGGCGCGGCGAGCAGGAGTAAGGGCTTGCTGCCTAGCGCCTAAATCAGTGCGCGGCCCACTGCCACCCGTGCACTGACGCGACGACGGTGGCACGACGAAGCCGCCACGATGTGGTGTCGAAGCCACCACAGCACGTCGAGGCAGCCACGGCAGCACGACGAAGCCGCCATGGCAGCACGGCATGGCCGCCACGGCGGCATGGAAGTAACAAAAGGGGAAGGAGTACGCGGTAGAAGCGTGATGAGCATGCCCGAGCAGACGGACCTGCTTTGAAACCATGTCAGAAATAAGCTAGGTGGGTAGAGGAGCCATTTAATGGCGAGTGGTTTTAGGAAGGAGAAAAGTTACGAGAGAGAAGAGGTGTTGGACTAGAAGAGAAGGAGATACAAGAAAGGGGATAGTCCCCTCTACATTAGGATTCAGTAAGTAGCACAACCAAGCATACAATTATATATATAATATATATAATTTAACACAACGTACACGCCAGTGATAGGCTGGCGCAAGTGCTCTACAACAGACCTTCGCTGTATGTTGACAGCAGTGGTGGTGTTTGCGCCACCTGGAGTTTACAACACACGAGGGTACTCGCGTGACTAACGGAACGGGCTGGTCAAGTAGCAGTGATCACAGTTGGGTTGGGTTGGGTTGGGTGTGGGAGGGAGGAATGTGTCTAGGTTGCGAGGGTTGAGAGGGATGTGACTGGTTGCAGAGGACATCGCCAAAATTATATAGGTTGGGAGGGGTATGGGAGGGGTGTGACTGGTAGTGGAGGATATCAACTTATACATACATTTGCATATAGAAGTTATAGGCTAGAATAAGTGTGTGTTCTTAGAGAGTACAAACCAAACCCTATATCTCCCTTGTTCCCTCTTCCTTCTAATCATTGCATTATTCTAACAGAGGACTTCGGCAAAATATTCCAGGTTGCTGGGGGTATGAGATGGGTGTGAATGAATGAGTGGTTAAGGAGGACTTGGCCGAATTTATATAGGTTGCGGGGCGTATCAGAGGGGTGTGTGTGGGTGAGTGACTGGTTGCAGTGGACTTAGCCAAAATTATCCAGGTTGCGGTTGCCATGAGAGGCGTGTGTGTTCAAGTGAACGAATGTCTAGAACAAGGCATACAAAAGAATATAACCTAATGAGTTGTACTCCCTAAGGCACAACCTTATAAAGTTTACAGAAACATA